GAATATTCACACTGCTGCAGCAGCATTTCTGCTGCCTCTGGGTAAAGCGAGAGCTCCCAGGAGCATTACCACATGCTGAAAACAAATGCTGATGCTCTGATCTGCTGGAGCAAAACTTCCCATCCCTACTCTTCTGCTAAGACCTAGCTGAGTACTGGACCATTGCAATGGTAAGGACATACTTTGTATATAAAAACCAGTAAGGATCAGATCAGACTAAAGTGATGTGCATTTCTTGCAGGCTGTTTGTGTGTCATAATGCGGCTGGCGTGATGAGTTGCCCAGCAAAGAAACATGGTTTGGAGATCTATTAGACATCCCTAATCCGTGCTGGTGCAGGGAATGAGAAAAAAAAAAAAAAAAGTAAGAAACATGAACTGACCTAGAAGAAAATTACTAATTTTAATAAGTAATGACAGACTGGAATGCATCCTTTGGGATGAAAAGCAGCTCAGGATGTTCACTGCATGGGCTATGAGAGATGAGAGCTAAAATCCATGGAAGTAGAGTGTAAGCCCCTGGATAATGCTGCTGGTGAAATTTGGGAGCGGGGGCAGCTGTTCAGGTGGGGATTGTTTTTGGCGGGGGTGAGGGGAGCGAGGCTGTTTTTTTCTGTTTGTTAATTTGTATGAATTGGTGGCTTTTCTCTCTTCAAGTTCTGTTCCTCTAGTCTTAGTGGTTGCTATGCTTCTGATCTTGCTTCAGTTGATGGAAATCAAAGTGTTACTTCTCCTGGTAAAGACTGTTGTGAGTTACATGTTTGTAAAGGTGGTGCCATCCTTTTTCAGTGGGGACTCCAAGTGGCTTCCTGAGAAGTTGCAGTGGCAGATTATCTGCAGCTAAGAGGAAGGTGTCATTTCACTGAGCAGAGGAAGGTAAAAACTGTGACCTGGAATGCCAGGATAAACAGTTCTTGAAATTGCATCACAGTTAGCTAATCATTCTCCTTCAACCAGTACAGCAAACATGAGAGGATGACATCTGAGCAGTGTTCTAAATAATATCAGAGTGATGTAGAGGATACTTTTTTCCCCACACATTGGAGCTTCAGTTACATAGAAGATGAGCAGGGTGGAAAGACTGATAAGCCAATGGGAAGAAGATTAGTGCCTGGAAATGTCAGAGATGTTGGAAAGTGAAGCAGAAATTAGAGAAATCAGTGTTCAAAGTTTAGTATTAGAAAGAAAAAAAAGGCCAGCATGTACTGAGAAAAGAAAAAGAAAGGATGATGAGGTGTGACTTACATATAAAGTCTTTATATGCGCCTCTTAAAGTGCTGATGCTTTTGCAGCCAGGAGACACAGTTGTCCATGCCCAAGCTGTTGAAGGTCAGAGAACTCTATAGTCCACATGGGACAGCAGCTCTAGTGGAGCTCATCAGCTGCCTCTATTTTAAACCTTCTCTGAGAGTTGTTTCTTTAGGCCACTTATGGGCCCATGTTGCTTCCTGGATCAGTTACCTGTGCATCAGCACATTTCAGATCACCAGCAGCCTGACTCCAGAAATAGGGTGTTGATGCAAAACCACTCCTGTCCTCCAGCCAAGACAGCAAATCAAAAGTGAGGAGAAACTGGTTTTCCTTACTCATCCATTTAATATTCCACTCTGATTCCAACGAGTCTCCAGCCCTGCTTTCCAGGATGGCTGGTGGCAAGGCCAGCTCAGCACAGTGCAATGTGTGTGATTTCTCTCCCTCTCCCACCTGTGCAGCTGGAATTCTGGCCCCAGGTGCTGTCTATTAAGGAACCTGCAATGTTACTTTTCATCAGTTGAGCATCAGTAACAAATTCTCAGGCCATAATTTCTTACAGGTGAGAGAGGAGCCCCAACAGTGTCAGGTGCTTCAAGTGCATCCTGATTCTTCCACAGTCAGAGCAGCTTGTTCATTTTGGAGGGTGATTGTAATATTGTCCAAAGGGAACAGGGAGTTTTGGCATTGAAATATGGTCCCCAAAGTTGTTGTGTTATTTACTACTCTGTCAGCAGGTCTAAAAAGGTACCCAAGGTTTCTTTTCCTTGTTGCCCAGATATCGCTGGCACTGATGAAGTTTTCACAGCTTCACACATAGAGATGATGTCTCTGAAGAGCATCACTTACAGTGACACAAGAGTCAACCCAGGGCATCATCTTTTCCTTAAATAGATTTAGCTGCTGCCTAGCAAACTACTTCCATATTTAGTTGTAAAATGGAAGGATTCTATGGGTGTAAACCTCAGTGTGTTTGGGAGGAGGAGGACCTCCTAGTCCTGAACACTGTTGCTGCAAACACACTGACTGCTGTGGTGCAGTACAAAAGGCTGTGCGGTATCTCCAGCTCCCTTCCCCAGCTGTTTCACAGCTCTTTGGAGTACTCCCTGTCAATGGAGAGGTGTAGAGATAGCCAGGACCCTTGAGTGACCTGTAAGTGTCCCTGTAGTCAAAGCCAAGTCTCATTTACCATTCCCCACATCTGCTTGTAGAATCTTCCCTCGGCAGCTTCCTGACACGCCAGGGTCTAGTGAATGGTATGTTATGCTGCCTCTTTCTGCACAGGTTGCCTCTAAACACCTATTCCAGACAAAGGAAGCTCCAATGTGAGTGTCAGTGTGATGTCCCAGTGGGCACTGATCTCTTTGCTTCAGGGTGGATGTATCTGTGTTCTCCAGACTCACCACCTGCTCAGCTGCCCAGACCCCATTGGGGCACTGAATGAGAATGGCCAGGGGTGAGAAACATCCTTGCTGCCTTGCTGTTACTCATGGTCATCTTTTCCTCAGTTTTGTCCTGCTCATGCATTATATTCTGCAGTGTTACCCCATGTGGGATGGAAAAAAAAAAATGTGTGCTTCAAGTGCATCCTGATTCTTCCACAGTCAGAGCAGCTTGTTCATTTTGGAGGGTGATTGTAATATTGTCCAAAGGGAACAGGGAGTTTTGGCATTGAAATATGGTCCCCAAAGTTGTTGTGTTATTTACTACTCTGTCAGCAGGTCTCAAGAGGTACAGATGGAGCTGGAAATACTTTTCCATGTTTTCACTGAGCCACGTTTGTAACACCCTGATTTTTTAATTATGTTTTTGGGGTTGTTTGTTAGTTTGTTTAAAGAAAGATGTTCTTTAGAAAAAAAGAAATTATCCTGCTTTCTTTCAAGGGGTGGCAGGTAAGGATTTGTCTGGAAAGAAAAGATACCACATATCTCTTCAGAGCATATTGTGGGAAGGGAAAAGAGAAGAGTCATTTCCCTTCTTTGTTGCCCAGATATCACTGGCACTGATGAAGTTTTCACAGCTTCACACATAGAGATGATGTCTCTGAAGAGCATCACTTACAGTGACACAAGACTCAACACAGGGCGTCATCTTTTCCTTAAATAGATTTATCTGCTGCCTAGGAGACTACTTCCATATTTAGTTATAACAGGGGAGGATTCCTTGGGTGTAAACCTCAGTGTGTTTCAGAGCGGGAGGATCTCCCAGTCCTGAACACTGTTGCTGCAAACACACTGACTGCTGTGGTGCAGAGCAAAAGGCTTCAGTCCTGCTCTTTTCTCATCATATTTCCAACAACTCCAGCTCCCTTCCCTGGCAGTTTCACAGCTCCTTGAAGCACTCCCCATAAATAAAGAGGTGTAGACCTAGCCAGAAACCTTGAGGGACCCACAAATGCTCCTGTAGTGTGATAGAGTGTCCTTTACAGTGGTAAAATGGAAAATGGTATCTGCATGTAGAATCTGCGCTTGGCAGCTGTGTGATGTGCCTGGATCCACTACTGCTACAAATGGGGTTCCCTATTTTAAATACTGATTCTTGCCTTGCAGGAAACAGCCTGTCATTTGTTTAAGACTTCAGACCAGCACACCTTGTGTAGATGTCTTGTTTCTTCTCTGTTCAGCTCAAATGCAGTTGGTATCTACATTCCACTCCAGTGCTGCAAGAGTCAGACAGGTAGGACACAGTTTGTCATCATTGTCTATGGAGTTTTACTTCTGTAAAGTGTTAGATTTTATGATTCCTTTCAAGTTGTAATGTTCTCGGTATTATATCCACGTGAAGACATCTTGCATGATGAAAACCAGCTCTTTTAGCTTTTTGTATTTGTACATTACTCTTAATTATTCCTTAGAATAAAAACTCATACATTTCAGTACTGGAAACACTATATAGTAGTGCAGCTGTTCCCACTTGTTCTCGTGGCTGTACATGTTACACTGCTTGGGGTTTATCCTCTTGTTCACACTTCTACCAAGCTGTTCATTAAGTTCAATTTCATTTACAACTGGAACATATTAATAGTGGCTATTCTGCCTTACAGAGGAAGTAAGGCATTCAATATCCTCTTATCCAAATAATACAGTATTTGTTTTTCTTTGAAACTGATTGTTAACATCATATTTGTGAAGTTATTAACAAGGCTGTATGATCTTTAAATTTCCTCAGTAACAAGTCACTTCCAGAGTTAACTGACCTTCACTTGCCTTGTTCTAAGGCAACACATCAGTCCTTGCCTAAGCTCCTCCATATGGACTCAGAGACATACAGATGCTTTTGGGACTACAGATGTTTTTCCCTGGGGAAACTTGCCTCTAAATAGCACTTGCCCAACTGATAACGGGACTATCAATGAGTACCTCTGAGTACCGTACCCATGTAGAAACACGATCCACAAAGGAAAACCAATTTTTTCTATGCCAGGACAGAAAATGTGTTTGTCCTGCCTTTGTTCTATTCCTCTCCCAGTATGGAAATTAAATTAGTCTCATTCCCTCCTTGGTAATGGAGTAAGCCAGAGTGGAGAAATACTGGAGATGGGATAAGTAAAGCTGTACTGTTACACAAGGCTTAAAGTGAAATGAATATTTCATTTGAAAATGCTCCAAACTTGTGTAACTGCAGAACTGAATTGTAATGACCAAAATCACTGATTCTGCTGTGTATGCGACGAAATCTATGCTCTTTATTTTCTACATATAGACAAGGCTATGAACACTTGAAGAAGGACAGAGGGTACACATTTTGTGCAGCCCTCAGGTCACTTTGCTGTCTCATGACATCCTCACTCTTCCTCTCCTATTTTCTTGCCATGAATTTCCCGGCTCTTGGCTCGGAGCTTGTTGACCTGTGACTCTGCAATGTCAGCCCGCTCCTCGGCTTCCTCCAGCTCGTGCTGGATCTTGCGGAACTTGGAGAGGTTGACATTGGACAGCTCCTCCTGTAGGGGAAAGGGAGTCAGTGGTGAGGAGCCCAGGGCAAGGGTTTAATTCCTGCAGCAAGTCAGCCTTATGGGGCTGCAAATCTCCATCCCCCTCCCACCACTGCTCACACATCAGCCACACACAGGGCTCCTCATCCTCCCCTTCTCAGGTTCCTACTGGGACAAACTTCACTAGGACTACGTCACAAGTGAGAATAAATTTCACATCTTCAATTTGTCATTTCTGTACTTACCCTCCCACTAATTCCTGCCCAATTGTCAGTGCAATTTACTGGGTTGGGAAGACCATGAAGCCTTCTGCTACTGGCTATTAGCAGAGATTCAGGAACTTGTCAGTCAGTGGGTGTCGCCCCTGGGTTTGTTTACTCTGGCCTCCTGTGTGAAACAGGCTGCAGAACTTCCCTTAATGAATGTCCCTGACTGCAGGGTGCCCAGAGCTCACCAAGGCCTTGAGAAACGATAGCAAAGCAGCATGGCCAAGACAGTTGTGTCTTGGGAGATGCTTTCATACCCATCTCCTGGTATTGAGCCTCATTCAACGTGTGTCCTGCCCCTATGGAATGTTTGCCCTTTCTCCAAGTACTTACAGCCTCCTCAGCTTGTCTCTTGTAGGATTTCACTTTCATTTGCAGCTTGTCCACCAGATCCTGCAGCCTGAGAATATTCTTCCTGTCTTCCTCAGACTAAAGCCATTGGTAAACAGAATAGAGAGTCAGTTCTTGGTTTTGCATCATGTGAGGTTAACAATTGCCCTTGGGGATGGTGTGGGCAAAATGTGACTCGCTGTGAGAAAGCCCTGTGAGAGCAGGAGAGCTCCTGCCTTACCTGGTAGGTGAGCTCCTTCACCCTCCGCTCGTACTTGCGCACACCCTTCACGGCTTCAGCGCTGCGCTTCTGCTCAGCATCAACCTCCCCTTCCAGCTCCCGCACCTGCAAGGACAAGCCCATCCCTGCAGCTTCCCTGCCAGTGTCACTCCAAGGAGAGACACGCTCACTCAGGCACAGCCCCAGCCCTACACACCCTGGCCTCCAGCTTCTGGATCTGCTTCTTCCCTCCCTTCAGTGCCAGCTGCTCAGCCTCTTCCAGACGGTGCTGCAGGTCCTTCACAGTCTGGTCCAGGTTCTTCTTCATCCTCTCCAGGTGGGCACTGGTGTCCTGCTCCTTCTTCAGCTCCTCTGCCATCATGGCTGCCTGATCAGAGCAAGGAGTCAAAGCCATTTTGGGGCTGGACATGTTTTGGGGAGACTACATTCATCCTCAGCAATTTCAGAAGCACCCAACTCACATCTGTGATGGCCTTCTTGGCCTTCTCCTCAGCATTGCGGGCTTCCTGGATGGTATCCTCCATTTCACTCTGGATCTGGGCAATGTCTGTTTCCAGCTTCTTCTTGGTGTTGATCAGGCTGGTGTTCTGTTGAACAATAAAATTTTGTGCAGTTATTCCCAAAAGAGAGCAATTACTGAAGGAATTTACTGTTTCAATGTAAAGTTATCCTCTAAATATCTAATATCTACATTTTCCTGATGTATCTTGTCAAGTCATACACAGCTAGATAGCAGAAAATTACTGAAATTTGAAGCAGCTCTTCTAACTGCTCATGCAATCCTACTCATTTTGCTGTAATCCATTACAAGTGTAATAATTCTGGTTCAGAAAAAATACTTTATTACAAGAGTTGATTTAGGAATTTACACTGAAGAAAATCTGTAAAGGAAGAAAATTGCCCATGAGATTTTGAATCTAACCTGAGTGTGGAGGAGCTGAACTCTCTCACTTGCATCCAGGAGCTCCTGCTCAGCCAATTTCCTCGACCGCTCCGTCTGCTCCAGGGCTGCCCGGAGCTCCTCAATTTCAGCCTGCAGCAGGTTTGCTCTGCGCTCCACCATGGCCACCTGCTCCTTCAGGTCATCCTGTGTCCTCAGAGCATCATCCAAGTGTATCTGGGTGTCCTGTAGAGAATAAAGAGAAATTATAAGGCAAAGAATCAAGAGAAATTATAAAATGACACAGCACTGTTGCACAATGGCAATTGCCACCAGTCCCATAATTATTATGGTAGTATAATATGTATAATTATAGGAATATATTTATATGTGGACTTATTGTCTGTCTATGCACAGTATCTTAGAAAAGTCAGCTGGAAGTTTATTCCTGTGAATCTGGGACAGTTGAAGAGTAACGTAAAGTTTCTGAATTTTAGGAGAGTGGACTTGAGTTTTTTAAGGAATTCCTGGATGGAACCCCCTTGAGAAACTCCCCTCAAGAATAAAAAAAACCAAAACAAAAACGAAAACAAAAAAAGAGTTAAGAATGTTTTTTCTGGGGTGAAGAAGTTCTCATTTCACATGTAAAAGCAATCAGACAAGAGAGGCAGGAGATCAGCATGGCTGAGCAAGGACTTTCAGGTCAACCTGAAGTGCGAGAAGGAAATGCATTGGTAGAACAAGCACCAAACGTCTTCAGAAGAATATAGAGATGCACATCCGGGGATGTGTGAGGATAGGATTACGAAAGCCAAGGCAGTGCTGGAGCTGAATTCCTGTTTTGCGTGGCCTCACGTTGAGTATTTCATCCAGGTCTGAGCTCTTCAATTAAGGAGAGTTATTAAGGAACTAGAATGTATCTAGAAGACTGCAGCAAAGTCAATATTGGACAAAGTAAAACCCACAATGGACATTCTTAGTGTAACATACCTTGAGCACAGCCTGGGTATTCCTCAGGTTCTTCTGTGCCTCTGCAGCCACACGATTGGCATGGCTCAGCTGGATCTCCATTTCATTCAGGTCTCCCTCCATCTTCTTCTTCAGCCTCAGGGCTTCATTCCTGCTCCTGATCTCAGCATCCAGGGTGCTCTGCATGGACTCCACAATTCTGAGGTGGTTTCTCTTCATCTGATCAATCTCCTCATCTTTCTCTGCTATCTTTCTGTCAATCTCAGCCTTCACTTGGTTGAGCTCAAGCTGCAGGCGCAGGATCTTCCCCTCCTCATGTTCCAGGGAGGCCTGCACAAGTGGACACAAACATTGATAAAATCAAAAATATTTTCAGAAATCTTAGTTGCACTCCCCAGCCAGAAGAGAGGACAACCCAGGCCTTTTCAGCCCTATTTCCTCATTTATTTCCTGCAGATGCCAGTGGTTGTGGTCACATACCTCAGCTTCCTCCAGAGCAGCCTGGATTTCAGATTTCTCCTGCTCAATCTGCTTCTTCACTTTCTCCAGCTCATGAATCGCCTTTCCTCCCTCCGCAATCTGCTCCGTGAGGTCAGAAATCTCCTCTGCAAGGAAGGACAAGCACAGTTGCATGTTAAAGCTTGGAAGGGTGTCAGTTCTATTCTGTCATGAGACAGAATTGATCACTTTAAGGGTTGACAGTTGATCACTTTAAGCATTTTGAACTGAGCACTTTTCACAGATATGTAGGGATCTATCCTTAGCTGTGTCCTATCACCTATTAGGCCTGGCTTAGTGCTTCTAGTCTTAAAGCCTATATTTTCCCTTCCTTTCTACACATTTTCCTCTGCCTTCCTCTCCCCTTTTTTTACAAATTTGTATCCTTGCCTTCATCTAATTCTTGTGTTAACCCACTCTCAGAGATTCCAATTTCTGTTGACCAGCCTCCATTTTCTCCAGTCATTTCCCATCCTTCTTCCCCACATACTTGGCCTCCTCGAGCTCCTCCGTGCGCTGAATCGCGTCCGTCTCGTATTTGGTTCTCCACTGGGACACTTCGCTGTTGGCCTTGGACAGGGCTCGCTGCAGCTCCCCCTTGGCCTCCTGCTCCTCCTCATATTGTTCCCGGAGCAAGTCACAGTCGTGGCGAGCGGACTGCAGGGCATGGGCCAGGGCGTTCTTGGCCTACATAGGGAGTGGGGATGCATCAAGGAGCAGTAATATCCCATGAAATCTCTTCTAATGAATTAATTTCACACTACAAACATGAGTGCTTGAGGAGTGTTTGCAATGAAGGAGAGATGTAAGCCTGGGGACAAAATCTATTAATGAAACTTATTACTGAAACAAAAGCCTTCCTGCAGGATGGCTTGTGCTAAGCAGATCATGTCCCCACTAGGCTACAAGTGTTGTCAGTGGCCAGTGGTAAGAAATGAGGAATAACCTTTATCTCTTCCTCTAGATGCCTCTTGAGTTCCTCAATCTGTTGGGTGAAAGCCTGTTTGCCTCTTGACAGCTGAGAAATCAGAGCATCTTTCTCATCTACCTGGCGTGAAAATTCACCTGAGGAAGCACATAAATAAGAAGATATTCTAATTGTCATTTATGACCCAAACAAACTGGTTTAGGAGTCATGCCAAAACACATGGGAGTCTTTCTAACCTGACTCTGTCTGCAGACGAGCTCTTTGAGCATTGAGGTCATTGATCATGCGCTGATGCTCTTCTTCCTTGCTCTTAATCTCACTCAGCTGATCTTCCAGAGTGCGGCACATCTTCTCCAGGTTGGCCTGTGGAGACCACAGAGAATGAAAGAAGATTAGTATCTGGATGCCTTCTTATGAACAGCAGGATTCTAACCAGAAAAAAGTGAACAGACTTGCACATTATAGACTGTTCCTTGGAGTTAGAAGGTTAGAAACAAGTTCCATACAGAGACACGAGGTAGATGGCAATCTGTCCATAATTTTAAAGTATATATTCAACATTATTTATATTCATGTTTTTTTCATATTCTTCCATACCTTGGCTTTGGAGACAGACTCCATGTTGCTGGCCAAGTCATCAATCTCCATCTTCATCTCACTCTTCTCCTTCTCCAGCTTCTGCTTCACGCGTTGCAGGTTGTCGATCTGCTCGCCCAGCTCAGCTGTGCTGTCCGCGTGCTTCTTGCGCAGGGCGGCAGCCGTGGCTTCGTGCTGCAGCGTGGCCTCTTCCAGGTCACGGTGCATCTTCTGGAACTCTGCCTCGCGCTTCTTGTTCATCTCCACCTGAGCTGCTGTGGCCCCTCCTGCTTCTTCCAGGCGCTCGCTGATCTCCTCCAGCTCCCTGGACAGGTCAGCGCGATGCTTCTCTGCTTTAGCACGAGAGGTTCGCTCTGCCTCAATTTCCTCCTCCAGCTCCTCAATGCGGGCCTGCAGAACAGCAGGGACCCTTCACACCCGTGCCCTCCTCCTGCCTGAGCTGAGCCTGAGCAAGGCAGGGGAAGGAACAGACACTTGCCTGCAGCTCCTTGATTTTCTTCTGAAGTTGCATGCCCAGGGCCTGTTCATCCTCAGTTTTACTCTGGATCTGGCTGATTTCAAAGTCTTTCCTTTGGGCCAAATGAATCATGTTAGAGCTCAACGAAAAGAGACAAGTCCTGCAGCCCAGCACTCAGGTGCCCCAGAGCCACACTTACTTCTTGAGTTTCTCATCCAGCTGCTGCTTATCATTCTCCAAATCCATGATGCTGTCCTGGGCCAGCTTCAGGTCTCCTTCCAGTTTCCTCTTGGCTCTCTCCAGGTCCATGCGCAGTTTCTTCTCTTGCTCCAGGGACCCTTCCAGCTGAACACAACAAGACCATCAGGGCTCTGCCAGCCAGCTTGGACTCCATACCTGTCCTGTTCCTGCTCTATGGCTCTGTGCTTACATCATCCACTTGCTGTTCCAGCTTGGTCTTGGCTTTGGTCAGAGTATTGACTTTGTCTTCCTCTGCCTGCAGGTCATCCAGGGTCTGCTGATGGGCCTCTTGGAGGGCTTTCTTCTCTTTTGTCAGCTTGGCAATGGTCTCGTCCAGGGCTGCCATCTCCTCAGTCAGGTTTTTCACCTACAAATATAAGCAGGTTTTAAAATTTGAAAGGAAACATGTTCACTGGTTTTGTGTTTCATTTATCTCTTGGATGCTCAGAGAAGCCCACCTCAAGATTTTACAAAGTCATCATGTCTTTTGGTGAGTTGCCTCTTACTCCAAGACTCTGTAATTTCCTCAGCCTTTATGTGACTGCCAATGTGTACCTTGTTTTCAGTGGCATGTTTTTCCTTCTCCACCTTGGCCAGTGTTAGCTCAAGGTCATCAATATCTTTCTTCAGCTCTGAACATTCATCCTCCAGCTTCCTCTTCTTGGCTGTCAGCTCAGCATTAATTTCTTCTTCATCCTCAGCCCTTTCAGTCACCTCCTTGACTTTGGCTTCCAGCTGGATTTTGGTTTTGATGAGCTGGTCACACCTTTCCTCAGCATCAGCCAAAGCATCAGCTTCCTGGTAGAAAAATGCAGGAAATATTATTTAGTACTGAAGGAACCCATGTGAACTGGCAAGACTTTCAGAATTACTTTTGGGTAAAAAACACACTGTGCAATTGCATTGGAAACTACAGATCTAGAAAAAGCTTTTAGTTAGTTTATTTGTTGGACCTTTTTCCATCTTTAATACAGCTCCATTTAGCTACATTTAATTTCAACCTATTTATTTTGTGTATATCAGAAAGTCACTTAGATTTAACTGGTGTTTTCCGTTTCTCCTTTAGAAAGTGATTGTGTCTTACTATGTACTAAATTCAACTTTTTGTGGAAGTGTTGAGAAATGTCGATAACTCTACGTGGAAATATTTGAAACTCCCATTAGTAGATTTATACTCAGCCAATGGTGTCAGTGTACAATAGAATAAGATTGATCATTCCCTAAACCAGACATTTCTACTCAAGGGTATTGCCAAAATGTTTTTTATGGCTCTGGGAGGCCAAAAGACATTTGAGACAGACATGTGGAGATGATGCTTGTGCTGTAAGTTGTAATGGTCGTGTGTCTTCTGGGAGTAGTAGGTTCAGGAGACAAGGTGAGATCTGCTATAAGAAATGGTAACCAGCTCTTCATTTTGACAACAGAGTTAAGGCAGAGTAGTAGGTCAGTCAAGCTACTGTCTCTGCTCCACTAGATACACTACAGTGATTACAGTAAGGCTATATGTCTCATATAATGTCTCTCATATGGCTTTATGAACTGACACATGTAGGTATGAAGACTAAAAACTCATACTTTTTAAACTCCAGCTTACAACAGTAAGATTGAGTGGAGCAAGAATGAGGTGTTAATTTTACCTTTAGTTACATGGTATTAGGCTTAAAGTATTTTAGAAACCTTAGTATGAAATTTGAGAGTCCTGTATTAGGAAAGAAGAGTTAGATCATATTTACTTACAAAAGTATAGAAAAATGTTACTTACAGCCTGCACTTGGAGCTGCAGGTCATTTTTCTCCTTCATTAGAGAGGCCATTTTCTCCTCAAGCTCCTTCCGCTTTGCCTCAGACTTCGCAAGCTCTTCCTTGGTTTTCTCAAATTCTTCCTTCATGTTGGCCATCTCCTTCTCAGACTCTGCACTCTTCAGCAAGGGCTTGATCTTGAAGAACAGCTTCATCCATGGCCAGTGCTTGACATTCATGAATGCACGAATGTTGTACTGGATGCAGAAGATGGATTCCCTGAGGCATAATTAAAAAGTACAATGAATATTCTCAGCCTGATGAGTGTTAACACTTTACCATGAGCAAAATGAGTATCTGGAATCAGAGGAAGATAAGGCCGTTTTTTTCCAAGCAACACACAGTAGCTACTACTAAACCCCATCAACTGTTTTTGAAAACAGAGCACAGGATGGACCCATGAATGAACCAACATTGCCATTAATGATGCTGACAAGAGCAGAGCTCTCACCTCTGTTTGAAGTCAGCATAGAGGACTCTGCTGGGGAACCCTTTCCTGCAGATCCTGATCCCTTCCAGCACGCCGTTACAGCGCAGCTGGTGCAGCACCAGCTCGTGCTCCATGGCACCTGGCAATGCAGAGCACAAATGAGTGGCACAGATTGCAGAGCAGAGGGGAATGGATGTATGAGAGCCAGGATCTTTCTGCTTGGGGTTCTTACCAGGTGTTTTAGTCTCATTGGGGATGATGCAGCGCACAAAGTGGGGGTGAGTGCTCCGCAGATTGGTCATCAGCTTGTTGAGATTCTCCTGTGGGATCATGCATAGTAGTTCAGATAAAAGAAATTTACTTTTGCCTACTTTGTACCTAGATGCCAAGGAACTAATATAATAAATCTTAGAAGCAGCTTTCAAATTCAATGTTTAGATTTAATGATACTTTCTATATACTTTTTATTGAAAAGTATTCTCTTTTTAAAAAAGTATAAAATTCTCCATCTTATTTGGAAGAAGAAAAACACTATTCTATAAATATTTTAACACAAGCCTTTTTGGGATAAATATTTATATTTATACTACATTACAGATTTTGAAAAATATTTTTCACAATAAATTGGAGTGAACTTTTGTAAGAAATTCAGAGATCCAAATGATGACTGAATCCTAAATTTGAACACAAAATCGTTATGAAATGCACTTCATATTTAGTATCTCTTCTTTAGAAAACCATTGCCAGAATACAAACCTGAGTGTATTTAACTCATTTTTGACATTTTGTTCATGTCACTTTATAGAAAATGAATCCATACTTTACCCGGAAAAGAGCTGAGACAGTCTGGAAAGAAGAACCCTTCTTCTTGCCTCCCTTCTTGCCACCACCACCACCACCACTAGCCTCTTAAAATTAAAAAAAAAAAAAAAAAAAAAAAAAAAAAAAAATTAAAAAAAAAAAAAAAATTTTTTT